TGCACATTGATACTGTTTCTTCCAACGGAAGATTTCATTAGTTTCATCTTTGGAATGAAATTCCATTTCAGGTCGAGAATATATTTACGTTTTGGACAAACTGGATAAACATCAACACACTTGCAAGCGACTCGATCTGGTCTGAGTCCACCTACGGGATCTTAAGCTACATATTTCTCCTGTGCATAGACGCAGAAATGTGACGTCAGTGAAATCGCGGCCCAGGGACTCTCCTATGGCGAGCCATAGAAATATAAACGGAGGGAAGGAAACAACAGTGGACATGCACATAGCTACTAACGGGGAAAATCTGATGCGGACCAGTAATTAATTTATCCTTTAAAAATAATAGCAGTTAGGATGCAAAATAGAGACTGAGAGGACAGAAAGAAGATGTTAAAATTCGTTACACTGGAATAATGAAAGCAGTCACATCAAGTAAATATCAGTTAAATAAAACATATATCAATATTTCGACACGGACCAGAGAAATCACACAAGAAAACTGAATCTGAATGTGAATATATTATTAACAAATATTATATTATAAATCTAATATAGTACTAATCAGGCTTCAAAAAACAATACTGATTTAATACACTTAAAGATGTGAAGTTAATTGTGAAAAATTAATGAAGTCAACAGAAAACATTAAATATTTGAAACCAAATGCTGAACACAACTTCATACAATGAACAGAGGAGAATGATGTGTGAATATTCCTGTTAGTAATCTATCACACAGTAAAACGTTCAGGTTCTGTAACCAGGTAAATTCTTGAAGCAAAATATGTTATTTTAAACACAATAATTCCGTTTATGCAATAAACATTTTCATAGAAATGCAAAATAAAAGAATGTCTCTATAGACTCGCACTGTCTCGATGATTGGATGTTTTCTTGCACACATTTAAGCGAAAAGGTTATCCCTAATGTTATTCCATGTGATGATTGTTAGTTTTCCGCCACGAGTGAACATTCCCTTCAATATCTCACGATCATGCTTGTTCTGAACTGCGTGATTTGAGATGCATATTCAGAACGAGGCGGAGAGTGAACCTTTTCTTGCACAATTTTCACGAGAAATGCCGTTCTCAACTGTGCACCCTCAGATGATTCTTCAGGATATCTCTATTAGCGAAAGTTTTCTTACACACATCGCACGAGAACGGTCGCTCTCCTCTGTGTGCACTGAGATGCCTGTTTAAGGTAGATCCCTGTGTGAAAGTTTTCTTACACAATTTGCATGAAAAAGGCCGTTCTCCATTGTGCACCCTCAGATGATTCTTCAGGCTAGTGCTATGAGTGAATGTTTTCTCACACACTTCGCAAGAAAATGGTCTTTCTCCACTGTGTATTCTGAGATGGATATTTAGGTGATAAAGCTGAGTGAACCGCTTCTTACACACATCGCACGAGAATGGTCGCTCTCCTCTGTGTGTCCTGAGATGCCTGTTTAGGTGAGAGCGCTGGGCGAACGCTTTCTTACAAACTTTGCACAAAAAAGGCCGTTCTCCACTGTGAATTCTTAAATGTTTGTTTAGGTTAGAGCGCTTGGCGAACTTTTTCTTACACACTTCGCAAGAAAATGACCGTTCTGCAGTGTGCACTCTGGTATGGTTGTAGAAAGTAGAGTGACTTGTTAACTTCTTCTTGCAATTTTCGCAAGATAAAGACTCACTGCGACCCCTTGATCCTTTTACTGCACTATGCTTAGGAGTTAACGATGTGACACACTTTTCACAACGAGACATTGTTTCTCTGTTACTTCCACTTGCATGTACCAACAAATTATTCCCAGGAGACCATGACTTCTTACATATCTCGCAAGAATAGAAGTTTTCTTCTCTGTTTAACAATTCTGCTCCCTGTTCACGACAAAGTTCCTTGGCATTAAAATCCTTATTTTCATGTGTTGCTTCAAAATTTGCTGCATTTAATTTAATATTCTGAAAAAAAAAACAGAAATGCTATAAGAACCCGCAGTGGAGTTGGGCTCGGAAACATTTTCCAGTAATACACTCGACACCATTACAAATACTGTTACACAAGGAGAAACCAAAATGACATTGTGTTCCAGCTTGATCCCCAAATTTACTAATCCAAACGTAAATATCTCTAAGCAAATTCTAGCATTCGTCTGCCAGTTTCAGTGGAAATGTTGCGTGCGTCTTACTCCATGCTACGCATTGGTTAACCGAATCAATTATACTGGTCCTGCCATTGACTGGAATTAATGACAAGTTAAGAGTCATCCTATGACTTATATGTCTAACAATTTGACCGGAATATTTCTTGAAATTCTTACTGGTACAGAGCACGTTCAAGCGTGTGTAAATGATATTTCCGTACATAAATTTACATTGCAGGATCCTGTTGCACTGCACAGGTCTGACTCTGCGTTTTCCTTTAATGCCGTCTATGTGCAACTTCGGCGACAATTACAAACCCTACATGTTTCGGCCCTCTTCACGTGTACAAGGAATCTGCTGCTCACTGTAAAACCGTTTTATGTCTTATGCAGTTGCCTCAATTTACTTCTGATAACATTCGTTAATTATCTGTTCTAAATTTGGTGTCATTATATCTCTACGTCTTTCGCTTTATTTGTAATATGCAATGTGTTATGTTAGAGCTTTGTTTTGAGGTACATATTTATATTCAGTTAACGTATATGTGGTATTCCACGTATTTACGTTATTGTTGATTTGTTGCCTGTGACTGTCTGGGCTGTTATTGTTTGTGATGGTAGTCCTTAATGTTTCTCCGGTGTAAGAGTTTCCTGACGTTGGTGATGTTGCTTCTAAGATGTAGTGTGTGTTGTGTGCTGCTCTCTTGTGTTTGTTTCATGTAATGCTTTGAATGTGAAATACGTGTTTCGATGTAATTCAAAATAACACTGGAATATATCACTTCATATATTACAGATTAAGCAAACACGTGCAGGTCAGGAAACCAAAGGGAATGCAGATGGCTAAACCACATAACTGGAATTAATCCGAGGGAAACATAAGAGAAACAAAAAACATTACAGTGACAGTAGATTCCTTAATGAGAACAACTTGTGGATGTGAAAATGGTCAATTAGAACGAGATATTATATAAGAAAGAACGACGGTTGAATTGTAACCGAAGTTGCATACAGACGGCATGAAACAAAGTTATAGTCACTTATTCTTGTACATTTGCAAAAATCTTGGATTGCCTTGATAATTAAAAATTTTTATCCTGTGATTATAAGTCTGGATTTTATTAATTTATATTAATAATATAACTACGCACCTCTCTTCAATTTAGTTGCATCTGAAAAGCGTTGCTACTTTAAGAAGGAGACGGCCCGTGTTATTTGGAACTGGGGGAAACATATGCATAGCGTATATTTGTGCTGAAACCTTTAGGAACGTAGCCTCGTAGAACACAAAGAGAGAACTACGAGTGTAATAAGAGACTGGATATTAGCGGAACAAATTTTGGGATGTGTCTTAAATTGAAGTGAATTCCTGTTGTGCCTAAGTGTTTTGAAATTTCGGTTGTAACATGAAGGTCAGTAAGGCTACGTGGAAAGGAAGCTTATAGAGATCCATCGCACACGGAGTGAACTGCAATGAATATAAGTGCACATGATGTAGTTACCTGGCACATAAACTTTAGATGAAGACAATTGGAGAACGTGACAACAAAATGTGTTTCTGTTATATATTTATAATTGAAAACACAACACTTACAGCCTGATTCCTCAAAGCAGGTAATGTCCAGTCAACTCGTGTCAGAATTACTTTTGGGACTCGAGTTGCTAAGGAATGCAATGTCCTTCGCAATCTCGCAAGGCGTTCTTCTTCACTTGCCATTCTTCTCTTGTTAATCTTCTCCTTCTGTTGTTCTGTGGCGAACACACATAAAGTTTAGACGCTGACACAATGCAATGATATACGTCACTCCGACGTCAGAAAATGAAGCAATAAAATTTGATATGATATTCCAATACAAGAATCGGAAACTTTACACCCCTGTCCTTGACAATTCCCGTTTTTCTAAATTAAATAAAGAAAATTCAATTGCAATGCGTATTTACATATGAATACATTTTTCAACAGGTTCTATTGCGATGCACTGAAGCGCAGTTAGTAAAAATTAACTGCTTTCATAGGCCAATTTTTTTCAGTCTTATCGCAAGATATATGAAAAAGAGCCGTTGAGGAGTTAAATGTTGAAATGATGTTATTAAGCAGCTGTTCGAAGACAAATTTCAAGTTAAGTTGATCCGGAATAGCTCTGTCTTTATACAGAGGGGCTGAAGGCGGACACCTGGGGTTCTATCCCCGACAGGAGCATGATACTTTTCTCTATTCCACTGCCTGAACACCGGGCCTGAGACCCACCCAGACTCTAGTCTACTTGGTAGAGGAGGATATTTCCACGGAGGTAAATGGGCCAAGTCTTGGAGCTGATCACTCGACTTCATTTAGTGCCGATTTGAGAAACGGTGGAGATATCCCTCCATTCCCACATGTACATTCATGATTTACTGCTTGATTAATTAAACACAGAGACAGCGTTACCTTTTTCTACTATATAATTGAATATACGAATAAAAATTGGAAACATCAACATTAAAATCTACGTTACATGTAACTTTCTTCGGTCACCCACACATCCCACTGAACCACTAGCGTACAGAACAAATACTGCAATTCTACGCATATTTTCTACATTTTTTGTTCATTTGTCACTCGATTTCTTTCAATTTACATAATCCTTCAGCGGCAATATGGCCCTGATAAAGGCTGATTCGACTCCAAGGCCATAGTGCCCTTGGAAGGATTCCATCGGTAAATACGCTGAGAAGTATTTACATATTTTTTTTATATAATACATTTTCACATTACTTATTTTTTTAACATCTCATCGGACGTTCATTTCAGAAATGCATGCCTTACATATTGTTTAGAAAACACGGATTTGGATTAGCAGCAGAAAATTTTCTATTGTTCTGAACCTAGTCACGTAAAAATAGAAGATGGGCAGTAAATTCTTTCACCTGAAATATTTCTTAATCCTCCACTAATTACAGCAACACTGTACTGATACTGTGGGTTACTACTTCGAGCGACTATCATAATATAATGGAGCATGTAGACCCGTTACTGAATAACGCCTTCGCAAACAATCAGTTTCCCACGGTAACGAGTCCGCGCGCAACAATACAGAAACTGTTGTAAACGATGATTTTTGTGCTGTCCGTCCTGAAATATTATAAGGAGAATAACTGGAGCTAGAGTTCACCTGTAAACATGGTACAGAGTTACATGGACTGACCCGTGTGTATCAAAACACAATACACTTGGAAGCAGATATTCATGTCTCACCGGTCACTAATGTAAATAAAACAGAGCGGGGATATATTATCTATAGGAAATTACATACATATAGAATGTTAATCCCTATCAATATGACGAGCGATTGTTCGCTTCAATCATTGTTTCATGTATATGAAATGTTGTGAACAAGGACCGAGGAATCGGAATTTTCTTTTGAGCGAATGAGAATTAAAAATGTAGGTCCTATTTCACGGCTACAAAGTATTTCTTAATTATGAAAATGTCCGTTCAATAATGTTTAGGGAAATAATTGTAGCTTCTCCTGAGAATCATATAAAACCTATAATATTTCCTTTACCCAAAACGTAGATTTCCTACAGGGCTAAAGGTCGTAATATACTCGTACATACAGATTGTTAAATATAATTAAATGCTTTAAGAATGTAAAGTACTCACTAAAATGAGCGAATATTCCCAGTCTAATGTGTCCAAAAACCAGTGCTTACTCAGATATGGGCGATGTTGATCTGATCCCAAAACCGGTTCTGCAAGTGGATCCCATGCATTTCAAAACGACATTCAGCTCTTCGGCGCACAGAAGTGCGCACTCTGCCCGAAATTCCTAGCTTCACTCCAATCCCCTGACGGGCATTCTGTGCTCGTTGCTGTTGTCAGGACCTCCGCATGTTACCACTCTTCAAAGAAAATCTGGATGTGTTGGGGTCTGAAAATGTAGAGAAAATAAGGTGGTGCCCTACCAACAATGAATGACAAATCTGATCGTTTTGAAGAGGCACATGTTACAGGAGTAACCGGTAGATCACTCACAAAACAAAGACTGTGCACTGCACCTGCTAGTCTGCTAGGAAAGACAATGGGTCTTAAGATTCCATCATTTAAGGCGCCCACTTAAACCCTGGCACCGATATTTGTACAAATATTGATTCCTGGAAACATGTTGTCGGGGCCCTGTTTTATTCATTTAATTGGGTACTATACACCTTACGGTTTTTAACATCACCCTCTGTAACTTAGTGTATGTTACCATGCCCCACCACTCCCTACTTCCTGCTGCGTCCCATTCCTTCTAACCATAGCTTCACCATCTTCTACTCCCTTGTCCTCCTTCATTGTCATGGTTTCCTCTGTCCGTTCCATTGCTCTCTCTGTCTCTCCAGGGTAGCAGCAAACAGCGTTTTTCGGCCAAATACGTTTGTATTTAATTAGCTACATAATTTGTTTCTGAGCAGCACAATCGACGGTGCCCTGGATTTCGTTTTGTAAAAAACTGTAATTTCCCTTGGACTGTACCTGTATTATTATTGTTATTATATAACATGCATAACTAAGCAGTGAGGCGATAAACATCTCACAAAAGCGCACTTAAACATATGACGGATATTTGTGGCTTTTTGCTAGTTAACACTCAGCGCGACAATGGACTGGCGAGGTAGAAATCACATGTGACACGTTTTCTATGTGAATTTCCGTATGCAACAATAGGACTGTGTTCTGCTTGCATGGTCGATGAGGAGGCTATATAACAGCAGTTACAAATACAACCGTTTTAAATTACACAGTTCTGAGTTCTCGGTGGGAGATATGTACGGAAATTTCGTCGTGTGAAGATCTGGCGTGATTAGAGGACTTCATTCATGTACAATATGTGCTGAGTCAATGAAAATGTTGTAGAACCTGTGTTTTGGTTGTGGTACCAGGAGAGGACTTGGTGTGCGTGTGTGTAACAGCGATAGCGCTGTGATTACGTGTATTTATTAGTGGTGCGTATAATGACTAAATAAACCCATTCATTAATCCTTAACCAATGCGTTATTAGTCACTAATACACGTGACAATATTTTTATTAGCAAATTACTTACATAAATTCGTCCAGTCATTTTTCGTATTTTATTTACTTGCCTTCCTTTGTGTGAGACATCACCCAATTTGACCTACGCCCACTTCAGCCGTAACAGCTTCCACCTTGTCCAGCTGAAGAAGGGGGGGGGGGAAGCCATGATGGCCCTGAAAAANTCTGGAGTATTTTGATGTTGGTTGGTTTCGCGCATCCCCATAATTCTATACCATATGTCCATATGGGTTTTAGTATGACTTTGTATATGATTAGTTTGTTATCTAGAGACAGTTTGGATTTTTTGCCAATAAGCCAGTTCATTTTATTTGTTTTAATGTTGAGCTGTAGTTTTTTTGCCTTTATGTGCGCTTTCCACGTTAGCTTCTGATCAAGGTGTAGACCCAGGTACTTGACTTCATTTTTCCGAGGGATAAATTCACCGTTTAACATCGGTTGTGGGCTTTCTGTGGATCTAGTTGTGAAGTTTATATGGACAGATTTGTCATTGTTGACTTTGATTTTCCATTTGTTGAGCCAATGTTGTAGGATGTTGAGATGGTTCTGAAGCTTTTTGGAAGCAGCTATGGGATTCTGGTCCAGCGCCAAGATCGCAGTGTCGTCAGCGAATGTGGCCATGGTGGTCTCATTGGCGGTAGGTATGTCAGCTGTATACAGAAGGTACAAGAGCGGACCCAAGACACTGCCTTGTTAGAGTGAATTTACTGACTACACAACACGTATTTTATTATCACTACATGTTTCGAACTCAAGAGGTCATCCTCAGTTGTACGAACTCGGATGTTTAATTACACGCGGTCACATTCGCTTTTTACTCATTCGACCCTGTATCTTATCCAGACTTACGCTCAATAATATATTAAGTTCTTTTATAAAATACAAGTTAAAATATCTTTCTAATTTAATTGTTAAAAGTTAAAATTTCCTGAATCAAAGTTCAATTCATGTCACTGGTCACACTTTCACTTACACCTGTTTTGCAGTTTCATCTCACTCACACTCACCACTGTGTCCAGTTCTTTCTAACCAGTTTAATTATTATTATCGGTTAAAAGTTCGTGAATTGAAGTTCAACTTATTATATTAGTTGCACTTTCACTTGTTTGTGAGGTCTCGCTGTTCTTCCGCGTCCTCTGATGATGCTGGATATGTTACGATCGTTGTCGTGATGCCCACCACGACAACGCAAAAAGCGAATGTGACCGCGTGTAATTATACAGCCGTGTTCGTACACCTGAGGATGACCTCTTGAGTTCTCGTAACTGGTAATTGCTATTCTACTCCAGGTTTTGCTCTGCTCTTGTTCTGTATCTTATTTATATAGCAGCGGAACGGACATGGACCTACAGTAAACACATACAACGTGATCGCTTACCGACCAGTCTATTGGTGTGTCGGTAGGATCTACAGAAAGCATACTTTCTTCTACTGTTGCATGTCGAAAAATGTTTACAGTTCTGTTGCCTGGCAACGCGATAACCATTCCGTTATAATATTCATCCTTATAAAATTGTAGAGGTTAGGACGCAAAATATATTATGATTGAAAACAAGGAAAATGTTCTTAAAATCTTTACAGATGAACATCAGTTGTCCACTGTGTACTCTGAGATGCGTGTTAGGGTTCGAGCTGTGAGCGAGAGTTTTCTTACACATATTGCATGAAGAAGGTCGTTGTCCAGCGTGCATTCTGAGATGCATGTTTAGGTTCGAGATGTGAGCGAAAGGTTTCTTACACACATTGCACGAAAAAGGCCGTTCTCCATTGTGTACTTTTCGATGCCTGAACATTTTCTTACACACTACGCAAGAAAATGGCCGTTCTCCAGTGTGTACCTTGATATGATTATCTAGATTAGCGCGACCAGTGAAACTTCACTTGCATACAGTGCATGCAAAAGGCCTTACACGACCACTGAATCGTTGTACTGCACTACGCTTAGGAGTTAAAGATGTGACACACATTTCACAACGAGACATTGTTTCTCTGCTGCTTCCACTCGCATGTCCGGATAGATTTTTCCTACTAGAAAATGATTTCCTTCATATCTCGTAAGTATGAGCGTCCCCTTCTCCGTATAACTCTGTCAATCCTGCACTCTGTTCGCAAAGAAGTTCCTCTGCATTAACAACCCTATTGAGGCGCGTTGTTGCTCTTAATTTAACACTCTGAAAGAAAGAGAGAGTGTATCAGGACCTACAGTGGAGCTGGACTCTGGGGCGTTTTGAAGTATTTCAGCTGTCACGTTGACAAATATTGTTGCACGAGAAGGAAGCTAGATGGCACTGTGTCCCCTCGTGAACCACAGAACACACTGATCTATATATAATATATCTAAGTGAGCACTAACATATTTCTGCCCGTCGACCCAGTCATTTAAATTAGACCAGCCACTTACTGGAGGATATTGCGAGTGATGGATCACTTGTAGGCAGTTATGCATAGGAATTCTTTGAAACCCTCACTGATTAAAGCACATACAGTTCCTCTGAATGACATTCCGGGACATTTGTAAAATTTCTGAGTCCATTCCATGCGTAGCAAAATTCCTTACTCCATAGCTTGTTGCTTTATATTTATAGCAATTAAGTAATGAAGTAATTACATCAGTAGATGTTCAGTGGAATATAATTTTATGAAAATTTCAGGTTTTAGATTCTAGTTTACTCAACGTTGGCTTTATTGATCATCCAGACCTCTGTCCCTCTTTCACTAAATACAGTAGATACCACTTGCAATACACGATCCAGGGAAATCACAAAAGAATGCTGAATCCGAAGGTAACTATACTATTCCAAAACTAAAATATAACCCTATCCGACCAATCATTCTTCCATATAAAAAATAATGAATTCACGCAAGAAAAGAAGTTAAGTTTATTGTGAAAATTCAATGGATTGAAGAGAAAACATTAAAAATGTGAAATTAAATTTTGGACATGTCTTTGTAACAGTGGACAGAAAAGATTGATGTGGGAATATTCCTGTAATACAAACGAACGAAACTTCAAAAATATGAATAAAACCTATGGAAATATGGAAAGATAAAGAGTATATTATAAAAGCGAGTCTTAGTCAATGAAAAGTGAGGACTTTAAATGAAAAACAACTGGCACCGAAACCTATCATACAGTAAAATGATCAGTTTCTGTAACCAGATAAATCCTTGAAGTAAAATATAACATTTTAAACAGAATTATTCAGTTGATACAATGAATATATTTTTATAAAAATGCGATATTTAGAATGTATCTGTATACTCGCACTGTCACTTTGAATTGATGCTTCCATGCACACATTAAACGAAAACGTTCTCTCTCATGATATTCCGTGTGACGCATTTTTTGTTTTCCATCACAAGTGAACATTCCTTTCCATATCTCACGATTGCATTTGGAAAGCGTTGCTACTTTAAGAAAAAGACGGCCCGAGTAATTTGGAACTGGGGGAAAACAAATGCATATCGTATATTTGTGCTGAAACCTTTAGGATCCTAGCCTCGTAGAACACCAAGAGAGAATTGTGAGTGTAATAAGAGAGAACATAACAACAAAAAATATTTCTGCTATAAATTTATAATTGGACACACAACACTTACAGCCCGATTCCTCAAAGCAGGAAATATCCAGTCAACTCGTGTATATACTAAATATAATGCCTAGAATCTGCCCGGCAGATCATTGGCGCGAAGCGTTTAAGTCTTCTGTTCCGATTCGGCTGGCTCATGAGGTCTGTTGCTCTTGCGTTTGGATGCTTGT